TAGAGTCAAGAACAGATTAGAGTCTGGGGACTTTAAATTTAAAGGGGCTGCCAAGGCAGGTGATGAGAAGTTTTGAACCAGATGTTGGTTGATGCTAAAACTTCAACATGGAGAAAAAAGACTTCTGGGTTCAGGTGCCTAGCTTTGTCCGGAGCTCTTTGGACCAGGCCGGAGCAGGGGCCGTCTCACTTTGACCATCATGCACCTGTAAAGGCGATGGAGAAGGACCCCAAGGTCCTTCCGAATCAGTTCTCATCTTAACAACCTCCAACAGACTGGTCCCAGAAAGAATTAACCTTTCTCAAGTTTTATTGTAAAATCCTCGAAAAAGAGCATTTACAATGACAATCCTTGATGATAATTTGTGAATCATCTTGATATCAAGTGGTACTGCAAATACACGGCGTGTTCAATACTGTGTAATACGTCAAAGTAAACGCAACTTATTTCAAATGCCACATACAGTTACAGTGTTGGTACAAATTTCTACTAAAGTTGATGTATTAAAAATAATTTATATATATTTTATAAATAAGGAAAAATTCACATGTATAGTAATTACAGGAGGCCTTTTGAGAAATACAGTGATTACAGAAAATATATTTTGGAGTCTACACAACAGCTCAAAATAATGCAATCTGCCTTGACATAAGAGATCGGAGTTTTCTGAGGCGGGGATGGATGAGACTCTCTACGGGACAAGTGGTGTGTGTGTGACTTCATATTTTGAGGGGCATTCAGCTACGCTACAGCAGGAAGCAGTGTGTGTGACCACTCCAGCAAAACTCCATGCCCAGTTCTGCTTCCGGGTCATCGCACAGGTCTTCAGGAAGCATGGGCAGAGGGGGAAGACAGGGTGCGAAGGGGCCAGGCCAGGAAGGGGCAGAGGCTGGGCAGTGGGGGGTGGGCCGTGGGGGCTCCATGAAAGGGTGTGCTTGACTCTGGCGTGGTGACTGGCAGACCTGTTGTTCCTCACCTCTCTGAAGCAGCTGTAGGAGCAGGGGACCAGCAACTCTTAGACATAAGGCAGATGTCATACTGGGCAGTGGATGAAGGTTTAGATTTAGGGAACTTTCTCACGTGAGAGCTCTTGGGCCCCGTACCCAGCCAATCCTGGTGGCCCTTCCTTAGAAATGAAGCTCTGGTCTTGAAGAGTCCCCCAGAAGGCAGCGCTCTCCGATCCTGCCATGATGACATGTGGACATGAGGACAGCACGTGTCACCTGGCGTGGGGTAGGGGCGAGTCAACGGTTATTGCTTTGTGGAGTGCAGGCTAAGCCCTCTAGAGCCTTCTGATCATGACCCACATTCTCTGGGGCCCCAGGGGGAAGGGATGGTTTTACATTAGTTCAGATGAGCTTGAAAAGAGGGGTGTGTGAATTGTGGCTTAGTCAAAAACCCCCACAAAAACATGCTCACTATTCTGGCGCTGGTTAAAGAAGCCTTGTTGTGAATTTTGGAGACCAATTCCCATTCTCCCTGTATTTTCCATAATTTCACACACCGGGTACAGTTACATTCCCACTCGCTGCTCACAGCGCCAAAGGATGTGTGAGACCATGCTTGCTGGGCTCCTGCTGACTGCCAGATGCTGGTGCCGGAAGCCTGCAGGCCCAGGGAAGACGCTCAGGTCCTCCAGTGACTTGGCTGGTCATCTGCTGGCGACCACAGCAGGAAGTGGGCTGTATTCCGACAGGTATTTGGGGTCTTGCAGTCACACCTTGAGGAGGCATTTCCCCCTTAAAATGTTAAAGCATCTTTGTCCTGTGATCTCTGTGATTCTGCAGAGGAACCAAGGCAGCTCGTGACTTTCTAGGAAAACTGCTTTGCCTCCATGCCAGCCTGGGAGGAGAGAGACAATAGCATCTGGCCCTGTGAGGGACGGCTTGCTTCTGCCCCAAAGCAAGGGGCTGGTGTGGCGGTGAGGTCAGCGGCCTTTTGAATGGAAGGAGCAGGAGGCTCAAGGCGTAGGGAGGAAGCAGGAAAAGCAGAGAATGAAGTTGGAATGGAGGGAGGTGTCGCGTAGGCCCTCTCAGGGATGAGGCTGGCGCAGATGTCACGGTCTCTATTCCTGTCGACAGTTTCTGATAGTAGCTGACTTTCCTTTCGTTCTGAGTTCTCTCTAGTCTTGCTCACCTGACTCCAAAGGGCTGTAAGCAAGTGTTTGGGGTGGGGGTGGGGGTGGGGGTCTGGGCAGCAAGGGGCTGTGTGCCATGGGTTCTGACTGCGCTTGGAGTGGGATCTGCGTCCTGGGTCGGGGAGGATGGCAAAGGACTTCATGTCAGCACTGTTGTCATCCACGTCACCTGTCTGGCCTCCTGGCATGGGGGCAGTACCTGGCGGTGCTGGGTGCAGGGAGGAAAGTGTGAGGTAGATTGGCGGATGTGTAGGAGGGAGGTGGCGTGATCAGCTCTCCTGCAGGCCTGCTTCTGAAGAGGAGGATCAGAGAGAGTGAGCTATGGGGTTCGGTGATGAGGATGGTTCTGCGTCCATGGTATCTGAATAAAACACATTCTGAGAAATCACTCGATTACTTTTTAAGCCCCTTGTAGAAAAATATATCCAGAACGAATCTGTTTCACATCTCAGTTCTGAAATTGCCTTTAGTTCACAGGTTATTGGTCAACAGAAAACAAGAAGTTGTGGCTGCACAAAGCTGACCCCAGGCTGCTTTCCTACACGAAGTCCCCGTCGTTACCATTCTCCAGCGCAGCAGGTGGGTCTCTGCTTTATTTGGGTGAAAGCTGTCCTCCAGGGCACCTACCTGGAGCCGGGAGGTGGGAATGGCAGGGACTGAGCTTCTGTGTCTGGTGATGCTTACCTTTCGGTCCAAGTGCCTGGAGCTTGCTAGTGGTAGTTGGCCCCAGCCAAGTGTTTACAGGGCTCTTCTGGCTACTTCTGGGCACTTGGGCTAAGAGGACTGTGAACGACGTGGAGACTTAAGATACAAGCCTGGGCCAGCCCCAGGCCGGACTGGCTGGGTCGGGGTTGCTGGGCCGGCATTTGCAGTCAGGCGTGGTCCACGCCCAGGCCTCCTTGTGCAGAAAGTGCACACAATCGTCTAGAAACAGACCCCCGCTTCCTACCACCAGTTTGCGGATAGCTGGGTGGGCTTTGGGACCTGGGGCCTCCACGTGGGCTCACTAGGGCAGGAGAGTGAGAGCCTCCAATTCAAAGCCTTCATGTCACCACAGGTGTTAGCTATTTGTGTTTGTTCTGAAAAAAAAAACACTCTGTTGAATTTTGGTGAAATTTTATTTCAAAATCCAGGAATGTTGGGATAGTGAGTTCACTATATAAGTGGTCTTTCTGGTGATTCTTTTGGTAAAATGAATACTCCTTGAATGTGAACAGTTAGTAGTTAGTCGATCTTTTGTGTTCATCAGAAGGAGTGCTGGCTGGGTTTGCCTCAAGGCTCGCCTGTTGTGATGACTTCTGACCCCAGCTGGTTTCAAACTGTGTTCCAGGAGCCAGCCTTTTCCCTGCCTCCCACCCACGCAGCTCTGCTGGAAAACATCTACTCCAGAGCCTTGGTGAATTTGCAAATTTCACAGTTTTCATGCCTGTGATTTCTTTCTCCAGTTCAGCTGTGTCCGGCACGTGGGCAGCGAGACGGGAGCTGCACAGTAAGGACCACCAGAGGAGGGACCGCGGGAAAGGAGCAGCTGCTGAGGGTCACTCCCAGTTTAAAAGGCCAGTTGGGATCAGTTTAGTCTTCTTCTGAGGAATCCTGCAACCCAGAGGGGCCGGCGTTTGAGCACGGCCGTTGGTGGGCTCCCCTCAGGTGGGCTCGGGGGCTTTTTGCTGCCAGGCGCTGCCACAATTTAGATTTTTCCGAAGGGTGAAGTTCATGAAAGCTGGAGAATTTCTGTGATTAGAGTGGGAGTTTGGAAGTAAAGGTGTCAAGAGATTGAGGCAAGAATAAAAGGAAAGGGTGAGATCCATCCATCCCAGTTATTGTGAAACTGAATATGACGCTTTCCCTCAACCTATAGCTACATATTGTACCTTTAAAAAAAATCTAAAATGTGATGTACATGTCTAGACTCACTCCTGAGAATTGTAGGAAACAGGTGTTTGGTGGACCAAGATACAAGAGACGCACAAGACGACGGCTGATCTCAGGAAACGGGTGGGCGGGACACAGGTGGGCTAGGCAGTTGGTGGGAGGGGAAGGGGGCTGTGTATTGAGTGAGGCAGGGTCTTGCCTTCCTTCCCTGAAAAGGGCCGTTCCTCAGCAGCACAGGAAAACCATGGCCATGTTGGCAGGTGAAGGGGCTACACTAGCTAAGGTGTCTGCGATGGGACCACCTCTCCCAACCCAGGTGGTTAGAAAGGTGACCCTTCAAGCCAGCGAGTGTGCCAGCATGTTTTGGCCGCTGGTGTGGGAAGGAAAGCGGTGTTCTGATACCCAGGGGCGCCTCTTTCTTTAGATTCGTCAGCACAGGCTGTCTTCCCACAGCTGTTGGGTTGCACTTCTGAGAGCCCACCGTAGCCCGGGACACGGGGGAATAGGTCAGTGGAATAATAACCAGCCTGCATCCTTCTGATTCTGAGATTCGGAGTGTGTGCTACTGGGGAGACGGGGCCGTGTGTAAGAAATACTGGGGCCCTCCCTGTACTGACTGCGCTGCGATGATGCAAGGACGAGGGGCCCCAGAGCTGAGCACAAGGGCCACAGGCAGAGAGGAAATTGGTTGTTAAAAGGGAAACTGCCTGGACACCACTGTGTCCTCGGGGTTTCAGCAGTGAGTCCAGAGGCTGCTATCCTGCCGGCTGCCCACACCTTGCCAGGCAAGCCCAGTCTGCCATGAATCTGGGCCTGGCTAATAAAATGTCCTCCTTCCAGCCCTAGCCGATCTGGCTCAGTGGATAGAGCGTCGGCCCACAGACTGAAGGGTCCCAGGTTTGATTCCGGTCAAGGGCATGTACCTCGGTGGCAGGTTTGATCCTTGGCCCTGGTTGGGGCGCGTGCAGGAGGTAACCAATCGATGTCTCTCTTTTTCTCTCCCCTTCCCTTCCACTCTCTCTAAAAATCAATAGGAAAATATCCTCGAGTGAGGAATAACTAACTAAACAATGCCCCCCTTCCATGGTGAAAAGCAGGCACACAGGGTTTGTCCTAGTGTCGTGGGGTCCCAGCCCAGAACGCAGCCTTTGCCAATGTGGTGGCCGATCTGCACTTGGGGGTGTCAGTGCTTTAGAGACCATCACTCCTTGATGACCACTGTTCTTTCCGGCTGGGGGATGTGGGGTGGTGACTCTCAGAGACTCGGCCCAAGGCAGGGACGAAAAGAGCTGGACCTCGGAGAGCGCCTTTCTGCTCACTAGCATTTGAGATTATAAAAAATTATTTTTTAATCAAAATTTCCAAAATAAAGTGAGTGATTTCCCCACCCCCCCAAGCTGCAATAAGTCTTACTGGCTCTCTCTCAGGCGTACCACAAGTCAAATGGAAAGAAAAGCAGGAAGCAGCTGCGGAAGAGGAAAAAGAGCAGAGCGAGGGCAGGTGTGGCTCTCCGGCCGGAGGGAGGCCCCTGCTCTCGGGCCCCTGCGCGGGGTGCAGTCTGGCTGGGTCTGGCGGTGAAGGAGAATGACTACGTGAAGGCAACCGACGGAGATGCCGCCTGGAAAGCAGGAGCGCTGGGTTCCACGGCGTCCCCGGTCACATGGCGTGGAGCCGGGCACGGAAATGCCTCCCTTACACGGCAGCGTGGGTTCTCGCCGTAGCCCAAGGCGCACTCATACTTCCCGACGAGAACACCCCGCCTGGTGAGCAGCGCATACCTTAGACGAGGAAACTTGCAAGGAGACCAGTGTCGAACCACGAAGCGAATACAGGTTTTTGCTTTTGTCTGTAAAAATATACAGGGCGCCAGCTCGGGGCTGAGGTGTCAGGACGAGGTGAGGCCCGGGGGCCCGGGCTCTGCACTGGCCTCCTTCATACCTCGCCCACCCACACCACCGTGGTCCCCCGCTTTACGCCCGACACCTCGCACCGCAGCGTGTTTTGTCGCCCGTTGATGAGAAACAGTGACTCCCGGGCTGGCGTGAGGAGGAACTGTCCGAACAGCCCGCTGTCCCTGACGATCCTGCGGGGCCCTGCCCAGGGCCCGGCTGGCCCCGAGGGCGGCTCCTTGAAGTTCTTCAGCACGCCCGCCCGCCCCGTGGCCAGCTCCAGGAACAGCAGGTCCGGCTCTGCCTCCAGCGTGGCGTAGACGCAGTACTGGTTGCTGTGGGCGAAGGAGCGCTGGAACGCCACGTCGGAGATGCCCTGGCCGATCTTCAGGTCGTAGAGGGTCCGGATCTCCCCCCGCAGCGTGACCTCCTGCACGTGCAGCTGGGGGCTGGCGGCAGCAG